CACCTAAAAAAAGACATGAGTTTCATGTGATAATGTTGTGAACATCGGTAATCTTGTGTAGATAAAAATATAATTCATGAAAGAGCAAGTTATCCTCTTAATTATCCTAAATATACACCAGTGCAACTTCTCTAATTTCAGTGTAGGTGATATCTGGTGGTGTGAAATCAGCATGAGGTCTCATTTGATATGAGGATACAGAAGGTCACATCATCAATGTTCAAAATCAGTGCATTTGCTCCTCTTTTCATCAGCCAAGGATGTGGTTACCAACACTTGCCATTTGACACAAAAATGCTTTCTGTCAGGTTTCTTATATTCAGCAGAAACATTCATATATATAAAATGAATCAGCAACATCATTCTAGGATCCTACAGGTATACATCCATGTCCCTAATTAATTTTAATTAATCCTCTCTTTATAATGCATTATAACAATCCTTTTTGTACTCTTTCTTGTGCAATATTTTGTTTTTTGAGAGATTTCTCTACAGTGAAAAGAGTTAACAGCAGGTAATGCCATTCATCTCGGGAGGAGTTTGAAATTTTCAGTGTTAGTGATGAATGAGGGTATCTGACCCACATCTGTTTTACATTAGAATGGAACATTGCCCTGACATCGTTAGGAGCATTTGTCAAGATTCCCTGGACAGAGCTTCTGTAAATTACATGCTGCAAATGTGTCAGGGTCAGATAAGAGGATATCATTAACTGTGCTAAAGTTTACTCATGATTCTGTCACTTCAACTTAATATGTTAACTGCCAACCATTTTCCTTGGGTTGTTTCATTAAATCTTTCATTCACGGGAGGGGAAAAAAAATGTATCACTGTACCCAAAAAATATTGCACATGTTCTTTTCTCATAAATCATATTAATTGCAGACATGGTCACAAAGCATATTAAACGCAGGCATCCGTAAATGAATTAAAACATATGAGAATTTTATTGTGCCTAGGGTAGGTCCTACGTCCTAAAATACCAACCATGTTAACAGACGTAAAGTTTCTTTTAAATGGAATAAGCTTTTTCTCAGTTTAATGGTCTTTATTTTGGTGATAATATTTTCTAATACCTGATAATGGAGCACACATTTTGTACATGGCCTTTAAGGCTTTCATCACTCAATTTCTCTTTCTGGATCGTATCCTCAGCTGGTGATTCTGTGCTAACTCCACCAGCAAGGGATTTGTCCTAAGGAATATTTTGGATTGTTTCAGATGTGGTCTCAAAACTTTTCTATAGAGTTTGACTGTTGCAGTCCACTGTGTTTCATTTACTTATTCCTAATTTCTCCTTTGTTTTCTAATAAAATATGGTGATTTTATCAACTGCATATACTGTATTTTGCTGTATAAGTGCAAAGGCTGTGCCTTAACATTCCTGCGTGTGTTTTGCAAAAAATTATATCCTGACTTTGTTTTTTTTTATTTATAGGTGTTCTATTCTAAAATAATTGAATAGTTATTGCATCATTTAATTATAGGTGTCAGATTAGCCCTTGGGGCTAATATCCATATCAGTGAGGCTGACAATTACTACTCTAACTTTCCCAAAATCATTCAGAAGGAAGTACATATTTTACAGTAATATGGATGATATAGAGAGTGAATAAATGTATTTTATGCCTTAGTTATTATAAAACAATCTGGTCTGTTTACTTCTTTAGAACTGTACTGCTTCATATCCACGGAACATCTGAGTTGCAAAATCTAGGTTTTTGTGTGTTTTCTGTGCACTGCTAAGCTGAGGGTGCTGAGGATCTTGCAGACATGGCCTATTAATGGATTTCTAATTGATTAGGTGAAAGTCAGCCATGCCCTTCCTGTAACTCCTTGTATGGGTGATAAGGTCATGGCACATACCTACAAAAGACTTCTACCCTGAGGCTACTTCCCTTGGAGCTTTCAAAACAGACATGACCAAAAGTCTAATTATTTAGATACTAATCAACTGCAGGATGATTCTGAAGGCCTCTGAAGAAGATATTTTTGAGAAGACAGTTACTGTTTGAGCTTCAGTTTTCTCCACCTCAAAGACAGAGAGCTCTGTCAGTTCTGCTCTAGTGTATCTACTAGGTGCATATCCACTTAGCAAGATGATGCCTAAAGACTTGTGTTATTATCTAACTAATCTAAAAATTTTAAAGTAAATCTCACAAAAAGCTAATTTTAGTTTGTCAAAGGAGATAAATCTCTACCCAAATATAGATGCTACTCAAGTTTGAGAGGCATTTGAGACCATGTCTGGATCCAGGTTTAAATTTCAAGGCTAATCTCAAATTTTAAAATAGCTTCCAATCCCAGAAGTTTAGAGCTCACTGTTTTCTGCTGGTAAAGTCAAAATAATTCTGTCTGGGGCTCTATTCTATCGAAAACATTAAAGTGAAAAAAACTTTAGTTAAAATACGCAGTTGGTAATATAGCTGTTTGCCAGCTCAGCAATCAGTCCAGAAGTCCTGGCAGAGACAGGGTGTGATGTGAGAGTGCTCAGGCAGGGAGAAGTGTCACTGGGGTTCCAGTAGGGCTGTGAGAGTGATGTGAGCACAACCCCTCCTCTCTGCTCTTGAACTTGGAACAGAACGTGGTACAGTCTGTAAATATTGGTATCACACTGGAGCTGTGCAGGAATGGAAAGGGTTGTGCACTTACTTCAGATTTCTGATAAACCCCTGTGTGTTTTAAACCGTAGTCAAAACCATGATACTCCTGCCAACATAAATATTTTCCAAAGTAGTAATTTTCAATGTAAATGTTGAAGTTAAGCCATGTTTTTTGTAGATCTTTCTCTTCTTTTAACTCTGCCAGTGATAATTTCAAAGGACAAGGATTAATATAACCTAAATGAATGTAGGTTCTAATACTGTGTCCTGCTGATGCAATGGCAGGTCATTAAGCACGCTAGATTTTCAGACCATATCAATTTCCAAAGTTATAAGAAAAAGATCTGTAATTTCTGAAACAGAAATACTTGCTAAAATAATCTTTAGTAATTCTAATAGTTTTCAGAAACCAACTTTTGGAAGAAAAAGTTAGGAGCCCAGTTATTTCACTTTTTAGGGAATTTTGGGACAAAATGCTGTGCAAGCTGCTGGGCAGATAACATGATTTTTCAAACAGTGGTGACTCCAGAGTTGTTTTTTTATTATTAACCTCAAGTTTTTTAACAGCTTTTGTGCACTGAAAAGACTCACTGAATGAAGTAGAAACTATCTTGCAGCCTGAATATAAATTCTTATTGTTTTTTAACTTAAAAAAGATTTCAGTATCTGAATGAACTCTTGCATGTGTTTTGAAACTTCTTTTTCACAAACTTAAGCATTCAACAGATACCATCAGTTAAACTCATGTTTTCCTGCTTAGTGAAACAGAAGTGAACATTTCAGTGCTGTATGTAGTAACTGAACTTCTTTCTCAGGCTTTTTTTTTTTTTAGTGAGATGTCTTGGGTGCATCTAATGCAAAGATATTTTTTGTTCTTGATGCAGATATCTGGGTGTCTCTTTTTGAAGTGCTCTGCTTGTACCTCTTGCTCTTTTCCTAATCAGACATTCAAAACCTGGATAGGTCTTCCTTCCTACTTAAGCCCCTATCCCTGGATCTTGTTTCACTTATTTATTAAAAAACAAACAAAATTTGGAGCTGAGACCACAAGCTCCCTGCAGTAATAATCTCTTTTAGTTTGAGATGGAAAAGGAAGTACAATTTAGGGAGGAGCATCAGAGCTTTAGGAACCAGATATGTTGTTATGAGGTTTAATTTATTCTTCACAAAATAGACTTCAATTTAAATAATTTCTCTTCAGTTTATGGTAAGAAGTGCTGTGAAGCCAACTGATTATCAAATAGCAGGTCAGATAATTGTGATGCCTTTTTGGAGCACGAACAGCCTGTAAATTATCAGAACATGCAGTTTTGGCAGAAACTGTACATCAGCCATCCATTATAGGCTGCAGACTGTTTGTCAGGCTTTGAAGTGCAATTTATTCCAGCAGAAGGAAGCAAATCTCTCAGCCACACTTATTTTCAAAGTGTGTTATAGAGATGTACCAGGAAAGGAAATACCATCCTACAGTGTGAGGGACTTCTGTACAGCAAAAACTTATCACTGTAGTTTCTTCCTTCGCTTCTCTTTGAAAGTGCAGATGCTTTTTTTCCCTTTTTTTTCTTTTTTTTTTTCTTTTTTATTCTACTGGAAATCATAATCTAGAGGGCTGGACTTTTATAGGGACAAGCATGTATTTCCCAGTAACCTCTTTTCAAACTCATTTTGACTGTTGATTTCATAACTGTTACTGTAGAAACAGTTTATTAAGGGAGTCACAGTTGACTAGAAGCCAGTCTGGAATACCTGACCCTTTCTGTTTTGTCCTCTAACACAGAGGATGAAATGGATAACTGGTGCTATGACCAGCACTTTACTTTTTCACATTCTTTTCTTCACAGGGCATGAAGCAGCAGGAGGTGCTGCTGCTTTGCCCTTTTCCCAGCACCCAGAACATCATCAATATGTGGGGTTCTTTGTTGCTTCTGGTAGTGTTGCTGTGATCTGCTCCAAATTAACCTCATTGCAATGATTGCTGATCTTGGAGAAGAAAATTGTGTGGGCTTTTTCACATCTTTTTGTATGTTTGTTGATCACGCAGGACAGCACGGCTGAAAGCCACTACGTGCTTTTTGTTCTCTTACAGTTTAGTCCTCAAGGAATAAACATATGCAGAAATCCCAGCTGGGACTGGGATCAGGCACTCTAAAACTATAAAAATTTAAAATATTAATTTTCCTTATTTGCCATTGGTATCACCTTTTATTGCTTGTTACCCATCAGATTTTATTTTGGTGGATGATGCAACCGAGTTCTACTTCCTCTACTCAATGCACAGTCCAAGTATCAAGTCTACCTGGTTTAGGAAATCAAATTATAGATTTGGGAACTTCTGTGGCTCTGTAAGCAACAGGGTTCATCGCATGTTTTAACTGTTTTTATTATTCTACATTTTAGGTAATGGGACTCTTGACTAACCATGGTGGTGTGCCTCACCAGCCCCAAACTGATTATGCCCTGTCTCCTTTAACCGGGGGCCTGGAGCCCACCACCACTGTCTCAGCCAGCTGCAGCCAGCGGCTGGATCACATGAAGAGCTTAGACAGCCTGCCTACATCCCAGTCCTACTGCCCGCCCACCTACAGCACCACGGGTTACAGCATGGACCCCGTCACGGGATACCAGTACGGACAGTACGGACAAAGTGAGTGTGGGGACACTGCGACACCGCGCCCGGTTACCAACGGGCTGCACTTTGTGTCTGGGACCAAGAAAATTGGGAGCAGAGATCCTAAAGGCTGACGGCTGCTTCTCTCCAGAGCCGTGCAGAGTGCACTGGTGAGATAGCTGATTGTTCGAGCGAGATTTCTGCTGCATAATTATTTTCTTAAGTGATGTCAACAACATCTTGATGTTATTAATTGTTGAGACATGAAACCTGATTGCCATTAGGTAAAACATAAGGGTTGTCCAAAATGAAATAACCGCTGGCATTCCACTATTAGAAACACATGTTCTTAATGAGGTCAGCTCAAGAATCATTACAGTATATAGTCCCAGATACATAGAGTTTTGTCAAACTTGTCCTAGGAATAAAAATATTAGTCCCTTTCCTTTGATATATCAGTATTAAATATGACAATGTCAACCTGTAGTTGGCATGGCCCCATGCTGTGAGGTTGTCACTGCATGACTTAAAAAGCTTCTTTTGCTTTTTTTGCAGGTGCCTTTCATTATCTGAAGCCAGATATTGCATAAATGAACTGTCCACTTCAAGTTAAAACTGGTCTTGTTTTCCGGTCTCACTCCAAGGCTTGGATAAGAGGGATCTTCTCAACACTCTGCAGCCTAAACTGGGGCAGTCCCATTGAGAGAAGCAGGCTTGTTATGTTCTCTCCAGTCATAGCTTTTAGTAGACTTTTGAAGGTTGGACAAAGCTATACAGAAGACAAAGGCCAAAAGCAATAATGAATAAATGTGACATGCTTCATTATGAGTGGGTATACAGAACAGAGCATATTGAACATCACTGCCTGGCAAACATTCCATTTTTTTGTTGCTGTTGAAATTAATGGACATTGATTGGGACAAATAGAACATTTTGAAACTAAACTTGGAGCGGCTGAGCTCTGCATACTCTGACTCATCTGACATCCAGTGCTGACTTTAGTCTAACTTTAAAACTGCTCAGTTTCTGAAGCAAGGTCAGGAGGACCTCTTTCATTTTACACACTGGAAATTGTCATCAAGAGGAAACATCACAGTCCATAAGGAAGCTAGGATAAATGCAAAAGACTTCCAGAGCAACTTATTGGTTACCTTACCATGTTTCTGTAATCACATTGTCAATAAATGTCACTCATGAGTTTTGCTTTACTGAGAGATGAGATCTTGTGTAACATGAAAAACAGATTTCACCTTTTTGTATGTGGAGTTTTCCCAGTCCGTTGTACCTTTTTGGTCAAACGTGGGAGGAAAAAAAACCCACCAGCAACGCGACTGATTTTTCACAACTGCCTAGCAATGTGCAATACTGTGTACCTCACACAAACTTTGGGATCATCCAAAGTCATAGAGATAGAATCAGAACTATATTTTTGCAGGTACTTTTATTTTTGCAGTGCATAATTCCTGATGATAAAATACAGAGATGTTGCAGTCTGCTGGATTACTGAAATCCAGCTTGCTAATCATGATTTAAAGGTCATCTTCAGGAAACAATACGAAGAAATGATTACGTTTACATTTTTTTTAGTGATATACAGGACATAGACAGAGATGGGCCTGTATTTGACACATTTGTTTAAATTATACAGCGATATCCAATATAGAAAGTATAATTATAGGAACCAAGGTTTACAACAAGTTTGCATTGTGACATTTTAGAATGTCAATAAATTTGTGTTTTGTGATGTTGAGAGGAAGAGGACGATGGAAGGTGGGATTATTTATTTCTCTCTATTCTTGTAAAAAGAGGGAGGCAGAACACAAATACATTCCTTTTAGTGTTAAGGACTATGAAGTAGTGAGTTAGACTAGGTTCAGTACAGAGGTTAGTTCACACATTGGTCTTAAGGGTGATGGAAAAATGAAATATTATCTTTGTGTTGCAGCCTCTACAACAACACATGTTGTAAAAAAAAAACCACAAAAAATAAAATAAAAAAAGAATACAAAAAGCAAATGTCTTTCATGTAAAAAGTTCAGTAAATATTTACTATTTATAATGAATAAACATTATGAAGACTTGCAAAGCACTGATGATTTTGTCCTAAAATGTAGTATTGTGCTAAATACATTGATACATTTTAATCTGAATATCATGAAGAAATAAACTATGTTATCTTCAATGCAAACTGTATTCATTATGTGTGTTGTGCACACATCCCAGGCTGCAGGAGCATTGGGCAGCCTCTGTGCCCAGGTGCTGCTAATGTGCCACGTGGAACTGTGTGTGTATGTTAATGAACTATGCATTTTTCAAGTGCTTCAAGTACTATAGTACATCTTCCTTATAAGAGGCCTTTTCTGTCCATTTTAAAAACAATAAAATAGGCCTAAACCAAGCACAAATAGGGCAAATCAATGGCTTCATACAATGCAGGAACTTTGTAATCAATTACGGGCAGTATCTGTCCTGAATTATATTTTTTTTCTTAGAAACCTCAAGATTTTTTTACTAGGCTTACACACAAGCTGATGGAAACATGGGGAAGACCCTCCAAAATGAGTGGAGTGAGTCTTAGTGGCACATCAGTGTGCAAATAAATTGTACTTCACCCTAGGCTTGGTGGACATTTAATGTCCTCACCATTTTGTAGGGGATGTAACCTCCTTGAATTTATTTCGTCTTTTATTTCTGTGTGCGTTTTATTTTTATTTTTTATTGTTATTTTGTTCTTTTGATTCTAGCCCTCTTCCACTGGAAAAGGAAGGAATGTAGAAGATATTAAAAATATGCTGAAAAATGGGAAAAGGGGATTTCTTTTTTTTCCTTCCAGTTTAGGTTTCTCTGATATACTTTTTAATTTCTGAGACTATCAAAATTTAAAAGACTCTTATCTATACCTATTCCCTGCTTTAAACTTCTAATTTTTCTGGTTTTTTTTCAATGTTTCTTCCCCTCCCTGGGGACTTGGCCTTTGGCATTTGTCTCCTGTCCTGGGCTTGCTACAAAGGCTAAGTAACCTCTGTTTCACCACTTGCAATCCCTTTGCTGTAAAATGCAGAATAGAAGCCTGTTTGCACAGTTTGGAACTGGGTGATGTCTGTGAGTGTGAGAGCTCCTTGCCAGGAGAGGTTTACCCTTGGTACAGGAGAATTGCCAAGTGCCACCTTCACTGCCTGTCCTTTTCTGTTCCAACAGCTGTGGGGCTGGGACAGAGCTGTGATTTCTCCCCATCCTATCAATGCTACTGAGGTGTTTTACTGACCTCAAGTTAAAGAACAGGAATTTTGGCTACTCCATCCTCTTTTCAACTTGCCTCTCCCAAGCCCTTTCTTGTGTGAGATCCTAATGCAGAGCTGGAGAGCCTGGAAACAAGTCAGATAAGGAGAAAAGGCAGATGTGGGAGGATTGGAACTAAATGATCTTTAAGGTACCTTCCAACCCAAACCATTCTGATGCTATGAAAATCATCTGGGTCTCTCACAGTAAGCCATGCAAGCAGGGAACCAGGATGAGGTCTTGCCAGGGGAAGTGAGGAGCCTGGGGCAGAGGGGACTAAGCAGTTTCCAGATTTATGATGGGCGGTAGGAATCTTTGACAGAGCTATAGGGATTGCTTGGGGTACAGCTGATCCCTTCTTGTTATCACTGTCTAGGCTGAAGAGGTTCTTGGGAACAACATGTGTTGTCTGGAACACAAATCCTGAACACTTGGAAAGTCAAAGGGTAATGAGCCTGCCATGGATATTGCATTTGACAGAAATGCCATGCAATAGCTTGGAGGAATGTGCTCACAGCAATGGAGTCCAAAACCCAATCACTGCTGAGTGCAGAAAGGGCAGATTTCAGGGTCCCTCCTGTCTTTTTCTTTTCTCTGTGTGTGTGAGTGAGCATATTTTACAAGATGAAAATAAATAACAACAGCTGCTTATTCAGCTGTCTGCCATCTCATTGGAATAGGAAACTCTTGAGAGACACGTTTTGATGCAAAAGTATTTGTTTATTGTGGCACAACCATGATTTTTACTTTATTATTTTCTTTTAAATCTTCCTTTACCTACAAATAACCTCTACTCCTATCACAATATCCAATATATGCATTTTGCCATATATTTGCCTTGGTATGTGTTACTATTCCTTTATTTGAACATTAATAAATGAGCTACGAAAAGAATAATTTTTAATGACACCTATTATCCTTTTGTTTTCCCTGGATATTTCAGGGTTTCCCATTTAAACAAAACTTAGAAATAAACATTTTTTTCCCATAGTCACATGGGGGTTTCTAGTCAATATTGCCTAAAAGTCTCTCATCTCTACAAGTGACAAATGATGTTGATGTGTATCTTTCTGAATCACTTTGAAAGGCACAAAATGCCTATATGAATCTACAAACCTTCACTAAAAACAGGTGATTGTTAAACAGGGTCTATATCTTCAGAAATCCATTTCTGCATATATGTGATATTAAATTTTTAATCCCTAGGTTAAGGTCTGTGCAAATTCAAGCTTTAAAAAGTCTGGCTACAGGTCTGTAACCTAGATCTCCAAATGTAAAGAGAAAATACAGTTACTTAATTTTGGAATTCCAAACCCCATCCGAAATTATCACCTGCTACTAATAATTTTTGTAGCAAGGATGTATTTGCATTTTCTCAGAATTATGGCAGACTATAGCATGCAAATTATTTGTTATGTCTAAATTCTGTGATATATTCTCATACATACAGAAGAGAACTGCTGTTTACTTCTGATGTGTAAAGCACATTTTACTGTGCTGGTAACCATGAACTTTCTCAACATTTTCTATCCATCAAGTCCTCTGCCCTAAAGTCTGTAAAGTGGATTACTAAAAGGTATCTTTGCATAAAATAACAAAAAAATAATTTAAGGCAATATCAACGAGACAATCAAACCTTGAACAGCTTGAATTAATGAACTTCTTTGTATTGTTCACTTCAATGTTCTGCTGCTCACTTAACTACAAGAAAACCTGCATCCTGATTAGAAGATCCCATTTTTCATTTCTTCTGGCTTTTCCAATGACATCTAGATATTGCCTAGGGCAACTGGAGAGTCATAGGATCATTTAAAGAATCACATAGGTTGATTTGAATCTGTTCAAGGTATTTGTCTATTGTAAAATAATAAAACTTGTAGTGTGCTCCTGTGGTCATTGTAGGTAACAGGCCATTTGATCTGTCAGATTTTCACTGCCTATTCTCTCCCAGCACTTCTGGGCAGCTCATCACAGGCTGAGAAGCTCTCATCAGTCACAGGGAGAAAAGTGCTGTAGCTAGATGGTTAGTCAGATTCAAAAACTTACAAACTATTTCTCATATAAGCAGGCTTCAAAATCAGTATGTGTACATGATGCTGGTGCTTGGTTCTCTATCGCTGTTATGGTTCCCACAAGCAACACTTTGCAGTGTTCACACATATTTTAAATCTTTGTTTAATTCATTTACATTGCCTGAATAACCCACAGCGCCTGTGGACACCTTGGGCACTGCAGCATTTTTATATGCACTATTTATTATTCAGCTACTCAGGCAATGTCATGAAAAATCATAACAAAACTAGGAAGACACATCACATTTGACCTTTGCTGAATAATTTAATAAAGCCAGCTCGATACACAAATATGAAGGAGCAGTTACTGGTAAGAGCGGAACTATTGCTTCCTTGTCTGAGAATTGGAAACAGTTCAGAAGCTTTATTAACCTTTTGGTGTCTTCATCTTCAGTGAAGTTTGTCCCTTAGGCCATGACCAAATGTTAAGCTACTTGTTTCTTCCTGCACTCTCCTCCTTTCAGTGCTCACGCAGGTATCTTTGCATATGCTATACACAATTATGATTTCAATTCTTCTCACATCTCTGTACAATTATCCACGTTTTTTCTCACAGACTCGGTTTCATTTACACAAGTATTTTTCTCCCCATATATATGCACTTATTCATAATGATCTCAAGTGTGCATACCTGTAAAAATTTAGTTTTTTAAGAGTGGTTGTTACTTTTTAAGGGTGTTAAGTGTCCTCTGCACACTTAGCCCATAACACTATATAGTTCAGCAATTCAGAGATGGAAAAAATTTCTTTGGAGCTATGTTTGTGTGAGCGTCCCCATGGTCAGTACCAGAATAATTAACAAAGAGTACAAATCTCCCAAGGTTTTGAACTGCTCTTTTGGCCATGTTTAACCTGGGGAAGGGTCTATTGGGGCTGGGGATGGTGTGGCTTGCAGGGACCAACCGATCTTTCTCCATCATCTCCATCTAAAATCTCCAGGTGGTGGAAGACGTTCCCTTCCCTTTGTTTCATGGCTGCTCCCCATTGCCTCCCTTTCACCTGTGGCTCTCCAATAAACTTGAGTCCTGCCACTCTGCAGGTTCCCACCAGCCACACCTTTTTTCCCAGCATCTGGATCAGCTCAATAGAATTTCTCTCTTGCCTGCTCTTCCCAAGGACTCCGACCTTCCCACTGCCTTGGGCAGGGCAGTGCCAGCAGCACCTGTACCAACCACAGACATCCCCAAATGGCACATCACTGTTTTGCCTAGCTCTGAAACCTGAGGGAAACTTTGAACAATCAGGGTTGCCTGATTTCAGAAAGGGGATAATGAATGTGTGTTAAAAGAAAGGTAAGATGGAATTCAGCTTTTCCTTTAGAGCCCAGAAGGGTTTCTGAGTGCAGCACAGAGTAGCTGTGGTGGGCATGGGTGGGCACGGGGGGCACAGGAGCCACTGTGGAGTACATGGGAAGCAGCCAAAACATGGCCCTCACCAGCTGTGATGACACAGCCCTGAGCAGAGCACAGAGCCACTGCCGGGAGCAGCTCCTGACCTGCTGGGACTGGGGAAGCTCAGGGGTGTGATGTGGGAGGGGGACAGTGCTCGACCAGGAGCTGTCAGTGGTGGGATGGGGCTCTGTGGTGTGTGAGCCATCTGGTCTCTCTGGTGCCAGGGTGTCCAGATGCCATGTGCTGTGGAAACAGCATGGCTTTTCCTGTGGGTGGAGAGACAGCAGGAACCATGCTGGGAATCCTCAGAAACCTGAAGGGTGGTTTCTGCTCAGGGTAAAGCCCAAATACGATTTTCCACATGGGTGCTGCTGTCCCAGGAAAGGCACACAGTG